CATGAATGCCACCTGTACCAAGGACAAAGACATTCATTAAAATCAAAGGATTGAAGTGATGATGCCTGATATGCAATGTCATCAAATTTGACTTTTCCAATATATTATTATAATGATATTCTGCATCTTGAAAAAATCTGTTGTGACAAAGGGCTGCAAATTTTCTTTGTATTCACTCAAGTTTATTGGAGTCAGCAACTGTAAAAGAGTTCCAAGCAACAAAAGCATACTCCAGTTTAGATCTGACGAAAGCAAACCACATCATCAGTAGACATTCTATGGTAGAGAAGGAATGATGATGATGATGATGATATACTATATAATAATAATAATAATAATGATATAATATAATAATGAGCCTAAATAGATTTAATACTGTGTCCACGGCCAAATTCGAATGTGGTGATGGGGTGCAAAGGGAGGAACATATCTGGGATTGTAAAAGGTAGGAGGACCAAGAGGCAACAGTGACAGACATCCTGTCTGAGAATGGCAAAAAAGAATACCCAAAGTCAGTTATAGAGCTCTCAAGACTAAAAGAAGAAAGATTTGTGCAAGGCGTTTATTACTTCATAAACAACATACCTGTATTTATTTAAAAATAGGTAGGTAAGAAAAGAAAAAGAAGTAACTACAAAATAATAATAGTATACTCTCAGATTTAAGTTAATACATTATGAATCGCGGGGAGACCGCTGTAATGGAATAAGACTTTTATAAGAATGTGCCAGCGGGGCCCGGATGGGCATTTAGTAGGTTTTTTTTTTTGTGTTTACAATTTTTCACAATAAAAGAAATACCCCACCCCCCCTTAAACCGGCTATTGCCGTTACGTTTTCAGAACCACGGATCAGAACTCCGTGTGATAGTTACTCAGACTCGATGATGGTGGCGCATTCTGTATCAATGCGCAGAGGTGATCCGTGCCGAAGATTAGCTGGGTTATGTGATGCGTGGGTCGGGTGGTAAGTGATGTAAGCGATGTAAGTGATCGGCTGCGCGTGATGACCGGTTATGACTGAGGTATGACGCTAATGCTGTGGGACGGCATTACTATCTCGTAGTATAAATACGACAAATGCGACAATGCAAATTTGAAGTTAGGTGTGGAACGAAGCTGCAGTAGGATGTGCTAGGAAGTGGTCTGTGAGTACCAAAGCAATTAACCTTTGCGCCTGAACAACCATGTAGTGTGTGAGTTGCATGACAGAATAGGGCATCGTCCCGGCAGCGATTTGTTTATATCGCGGCTTTCCGAACCACAGTCAAGTAGTAGTCGCTTGTAATTATTAAAATGGCATTGGTATAATTTGTGTCTTAAGAGATTTACTGTTCATTACTTACTGTTTTGTGCATTCGGAATGTATTTACTATACGGCCATCACATTGGGTACGTTATAATTGATTAAGGTTAGAGTTGTAGAAAGCAGTGCCAGATTAACAGGGTAGGTGGGCTAGATTGGTTAATGTTTTGCAGAGCGTAGCAGTTAAGTAAATACTACTCGTTCATTTAGAGGTATTATGGATTCATCATACTATAAAATTGTTTTCTAAATAATATCTAGGAATTCGCATGCAAATACAGCCTTTTGCAGCAATACGTGTAGAAACGATGGCCAAATTGTAGTTTGTGGAGGCAATAGGACAAGAAGTCCCCTATGCTCCTCCATGCATAGGCATTCAGTTTTAAAATCATTACTGACCAACTGGGTCACATTTATTTAAGTTAAAGGAAAAGACTGAGGGTATGAGGGAGGTGTGAACACTGGTCAGTATCTGCTTAGTAGTGCCTTTGTACTGCAGAAGAATGTAACCAAGAAGATAGAAGAATTCTCACTAGAAAGTGTACATGGGGTTCTTGTGTTAAATAATCACTGCTATCAACTTCATACAAAATTTTATTCAATATTCTTCGCTCAAGGTTAAGTCTATATGTAGATGAAATTATTGGGGATCATCAGTGTGAGTTTTGACGTAACAGATCAGATCTTTTGCATTCGTCAGATATTGGAGATAAAATGGGAGTATGATGAGACAGTACATTAGCTATTCATAGACTTCAAGAAAGCCTATGATTCAGTTAGGAGGGAAGTATTGTACAGTATTCTGATAGAGTTTTGGGTACCAATGAAAATAGTTAGGCTGATTAAAACGTTTAAACGAAACATATAGTAAAGTCCATATAGGCAGACATTTGTCTGATAATTTTCCTATCCAGAATGGTCTAAAACAAGGAGATGCTTTGTCACCACTGCTTTTCAACTGTGCTGTAGAATATGCCATTAGGAAGGTCCAGGGAAACCAGGTGGGACTGAAATTAAATGGGACACATCAGATGTTGGTCTATGCTGATGATGTGAATCTACTGGGTGATAATGTAGATACCATAAAGAAGATAGAGAAACACACAGGACTTTAATTCATGCTTGTAAGGAGGTTGGTCTAGAAGTAAACCAAGAGAAAACTAAGTATATGTTGCTGTCTCATAACCAAAATGCAGGGAAAAATCAAGACATAAAAATAGGTAACAGATGTTTTGAAAACGTGACACAGTTCACATCTTTGGGAATGACTATAACAAATCAAATGTGGTTCGGGAGGAAATTAAGAGGTGACTGAACTCAGGTAATGCTTGCTACCATTCAGTCCAGAACCTTTTGTCTTCTCGTCTCCTGTCCAAAAACATAAAAATTAGAATATACAAAACTATAATTTTGCCTGTGGTTCTATATGGGTGTGAAACTTGGTGGGAGGAAACTTAAGGGAGGAACATAGACTGGGGGTATTCGAGAATATTTGGACTGAAGGGAGATGAAGTGGCAGGAGGTTGGAGAAAAGTGCATAATGAGGAGCTTCATAACTTGTACTCTTCTCCAAGTATAATTAGAATGATCGAGTCAAGGAGGATGAGGTGGGCAGGGCATGTAGCACGAATGGCGGAGACGAGGAATGTGTATAGGATATTGGTGGGAAAGCCAGAAGGAAAGAGACCACCGGGAAGACCAAGGCATAGGTGGGTGGACAATATTAAAATGGATCTTAGAGAGATAGGATGGGATGGTATTGATTGGATTGATCTGGGTCAGAATAGGGACCAGTGGAGGGCTCTTGTGAACACGGTAATGAACCTTCAGGTTCCATGAAATACTGGGAAATTGAGCAGCTGCAGAATTGGCGGCTCCTCCAGAAGGGCTCAACTCCATGAGTAAGTAAGTATGCTAAATGATACAGTAGCTATTTAGATATTACAAGTTTGCAAAGCTTCTGTCTGCTGATAAAACACCTCCACCTTACGTGAAGTACACTGGTGCTTATATGAATAGTCAGTAGAAACTGTATGTATATGCAGGTGGTACTATTTACAGAACAGTTTAGATGACCTCAAAGTGGAAAATTATCAGAGGTGAAAGAAAAAAAGAGTTATCTTGAACTGCAGTTGGACAAAGACTTGGGGAACTTTTCATTACAGGGCAACATTGTCCATGGCCTTCTTCTCTTCATTATGAGGTGATAGATCATTGTCTCTCTCTTTGTTATGAGAAGACAGATCATTGTCCATCTGTGGGACTCTCACTTTATTATGAGGTAATGAATTAAGCCATACATACCAATTGCTAAGCTGAATATGAGTATTTTGAATTCGTGAATGTAGCAACTTTACGTTTTTTGTACTTGCATATATCTTTTTGTATGTTTCATGTGTTTAATAAGAAAACAGTTTTTCTAAATTGTGAAGATTACAAAGCGTAAAATGAGTACATAATTTTCTTGTGGCTTAGTTAGCTATGTATGAAGACTTGTGATGTACAGCCAGAGGGTTTCCCCCACACACATTTATTACGCTCTGAAGTCCTGTAACTTACTGGTCAGAACATGAAATTTTCAGATGTCATGTTTGGAACTACCATCAATCTTGAAAGCTGATTGTGGTTTATCTCAGTATGCCATGACTGCTTGCTTCCACATGCCTTATCAGGTACATGTATCTTATTAGCCTATAATATTCTGCTACTTAGATGGACTTGTTCCAGAAATGTTGGATTATATAAACTGTTTTCTGAGTGAGATACTGTAATTCATATTTTTTAGGTTATCAAAAGGTCCACATGGAATGCTATTTGAACTGAATGCAGTCTAATGTAGCTAAGACTTCCCATGGGTCAGTTTGTGCACTTCATAGCTTACCTGTGTAGCTAGCATCTGCGTCATATCTGACTGCTTAAACACAGGTGACAAAATTATAGTTTTGGAACTTGATCCTGAGCTAGGTCTCATCCTCATAATCCAGCTCCCTAAAATACATTTTAATATTATTACCCCACCTCTAGTGGACTGCTCTCTAGAATAATTACACACTTCTTGTATTCAACTGAGCACTTATTTTACTGTGCTAAAAGTAAAAGTAAATGTTTTGCTGCGACAGGCCATGGAGGCTCCCAGGTGGCGGTGAGGTTGTCAGCCTTACGTGCTGGCTGCCCTTTACCTCAAGGAATATTCCTGTGTACTCATTTCTGTTAAAAGGCTGAGTGTACTCTAGGGCCATAATAGTGTGGCTGGAAGGATTAGGTCAATTGAAAAATCAACCTCATCAGGATTCGATCCCGCAACCTTCCAGCTTGTAGCATAGTGCCTCAACCATGCTGCCACGTGCCCCCATTTCTTTTACTGTGCCAACACATTTAATGGCAATGCCAAGCATGAAAATTACATGTCACTGGATTATGTAACAGGATTGCAAGCTGTACTTACACAGTGCTGTGAACTACTGTTTTTCCTTTTTAAGCTGTGTGGGTAAGAGAGATTAGTTTTTAAAATGCAATGACAAAGATTGCATATTATGAACACAAATGGAAGAACTGGGACCAGGGAGTGGCTTTATAGAATACCTACTTTAGGACTGAATAATGAATTCTTTCCATTTGTTGATCAAATGTAAAAGTAGCATATTTGACCCAAGTTTCTTCATTTCTGAGACACTGAAGGGATAAGAGAACACAGACACAATCTTATGGATACTTTATTGAGAACAGGGAAATAAGACAAGAGACATTGCTTGTTGCAGTCAACCAGGCAACACTGCTAAAATATGTAGAACAGAAATATATATATAAAAAAAACAAATCAGCAGTATTTTTCTGCATTATTTATACATGTAGCCAGAAAATACACTACTACATCACTGTTCAGAAAATCAACAAAATTTAGTATCATGAGCTGATATGGCTAGCCACAAAGCCATCATGAATGTTGATGTGTACATATATCATTCACATTTTATGTGAGGAGAGAATTCTTCATTTCATAGTTCATCAAAGATGTGGAATCTGCTACGTAGAGTTCCTCATACACATTACCTTATGAGGAACCATGTTCAGTCTGAATTATATATTGATCATCCATCACAAACAGCACACATCAGGAAACAGTTTTGTCAGCACCTCTGTAAATTGCAATTCAGCACAGACCTTAAGTCAGTTCTGTATCTTGTTGCATTTTCACTTGAATTGTGTGTACTCTTGATTAGGAAACAATTTTGAACAGAAAGGTGTGAGCAGAATAATTGTTATGGATTTAAAATAAAAGTACATTTTATATTTTCATGTAATGTAATGATGTACATTCTGTTTCTAATTTAGCCACTGCATTTTAAACCTTAATTAAAGTGCTGGTACAGTAGGGATTATAAGAGCTCTGTAATTTTATTATCTATATTGTTATTGTGGGTGGGCTTGTCTGCATTGCATTTTTGAGAACTGAGTAGCTTTCTTATCTTGTCAGAAGTTTTCATCTGAATGTGCAAACACTTCAAATTCTGACGAAGACTTGCAACATAAACATTGCAGCTTACAGAACTTAATGAAGGAAAGGACCTCTAAAAGTATACCGAAACTGCACCACAGATTAGTGGAGTGGCACTGGAATAAAGCATGGAAATCTGCATCAAATTCTTGTCCCATCATGGACATATGATCATGGCTACAATTTAGCAACTCCTGCAGGAACCTTCAGCACAAAAAATTTGTCCAAATGTTTCACTTCTGAAGCATAACCAACACATTCATACATGTCTTGCTCATCAGCTGTACTTCTCCTGTATTCAATTTGTCTGTTAGCAGCACAAATAAATACACAACACTGTCAGTAACCTCCTTGTTATGTGTCACTTTTCCATAGTTTTATGGTCTTGTCGTTTTCCAATGCAGCTGAAGCGATGATGTTCTCTGTGGGGTGACAGGAGGTGCAGAGTACTACGTCTGAAACAAATCAGTGCTTCTTACATGGAGTTTGAAATATTAAGAGCAAACTTGTAGCAGACAAGGAAGTTCTGTGAATAAGCCCTTGACAGTCTGCAAAGATAGTGTGGCCACCATACCCATTGCTAGGCAATGACCGTGAAACAAACCACTAGATGGCAACTGTTGCTAGGTAGTGGACTGCAAACAACAGAGGAATGGTGTTTTCCATGTAGTCTGCTAGGCAACAATTGAACTACAATGAGGAGCGGTGTTTTCCACACAGTCTATGCTGAGATGTGTTACAAGTGGGACAAGTTGGGGGAGCTGCAGTCAGAAGAGCAGGAGGTTGTCATGAAATAGGTACCAGCCAGCAAGGACTGGAGGCGTAGAACATGGAAGCCAAAAAATCTATGACTTTGTGAGCTGCCACTGCAAGAAGCTGGTGGCTGAGGCCAGGGACAGTGGAGGAACCCAGTGTTGTTAGAAGCTTCAACCAAACAGCTAGTAAAGATGCGACTCTGGACATGGGTGTGTGCATGTGCATGTAATGGTGAACTGTAAAGTGTGGTCATGTGCTGTATTAAAGAGTCCAATAAATCTAAGTCTCTCATACACGTGACAATAATTATCAACTGTAACCCCAAAAGGCATTAATAATATCAGTAGTCTGTGATATGGGGAATGTATGCACATAACTGCAAACAGAGTGAAACATGAAATTTAATTAAAGCAGTTGCAATATTTAGGTCTTTGGGCAGTTACAGGAGCTCAAGTGCAAGTTAACAGTGAGGCCAGTTTGAATGTCGCGACATTTTGCCAACACACTAGTCATGCTTCCTGGCTCTGCTTGTGCAACTGTTTAATCACCACCCCCTCTCCCAGCCTTGAAGTATGCCCCAGACACACTGCATTTTGTTATAAACATCTGCAGCAAACAGAAATCAAGAACCATGGAGTTCACTTATCTTGGTGCATGTGTTTTATGGGCTATTAATAACAGTTTTACAGGACTGAGACTATACAGCATCAGATGGATGGTAGGATGAGATGAACTCGGAACGATTTGAAAGGAAAAGTGGTTACTGCCAGATCAAGGTATTATCATCCCAGCATTTGCATTGGGGGACTCAGCTGCCCAACATATGTGAAGGAACACAAGGCGGCCATTCTGTTTGGTACATAGTGGTACTCAGTGCCAGTTATTCTCAGAATCTATCACACATCCGACAGGAATGTGGAGACACTAAAACAAGGAGCTTTTCCAGTGCTGTCCTGTGTTCAGATGCAGTCATCCAGAAAACTACCCACATCACATGATCACTGCTTTGCCAGTATGTATGCTAAAGTTATAGGTTAAATTTCCTTTTGTAATATTGGTTGCCACTATTAGTTAGCAAGATGAACTGTATTTTGCATGTCATGATCACTTCCACATGCTATCTTGGAAACTACTATGTCTACAGTATGACAACTCTACTGTCATCTGCCATCCTGCAGTGATCATACTGTATGATATATGATATGATTCAGTATCACACAGGGTGTACCCAAAAGAATGCCAGGATTTCAATCGCCCATAACTCAGGAATGAAAACAGATATGTTAATTTCTGCAGTGTGCATCACACCTGTGGTTAATGGCCATCAGTTTTGATTGCATATTCTGCGTGGTCAGTATGATATCTACTGTACAGCACAGACTGTGTTGTCATATGAAGCAATTCAAATTCAGTGATGACAAGAGCATTAGGAGATGGTATGAGTAATTTGGAGAGACTGACAGTGTAGGGGGAGAAGGGAAAGACATTCTACTGGGCGGCCTCTGAGAGATGATGAAGATGTGGACTGTTAGGCACACTCCTGTGCAGAGATTGGAGGAGGCGATATCCCAAGCATGTGCAGAGTTACAGATGCTGCAACCAGCTGTCCACCTAATTCTTCTGATGAGCCTTCATTTAAAACCATACAAATTAAGGTAGTCCAGAAACTTGCAGCATGTGTCAGACAACTCAGATCACAGTTTGCAGCGCGTGCATATGAATTAGAGAACAGTACTTTCGTAAGTCATACTGTCTTCACTAATGAGACAAAATTCCACATCTCTGGATGTGCCAGTTGACTTAACTGTGTCAAATGGGGCACTGAGCTTTCCAGAAACCATTTAGAACATGACAGCAAGTCCTATAGAGAATATGTGGTGCGCACCGACACAAAAGCGGCACTGGCCCATTTTCCTAGACAGGTTGGAAAATTATGCTCTTCCATAGCTCAACAACACCAATTTTTCAAGTTGATGGTGCACACATCAATTTTTCCCACAATGTTCATAACTGAACAAGAATTTCCCAGATCGATGAATGGGAAGAGGTTCAACTATCTATGTGAACGATCAGGTGTACAGCCAAAGAGTGTGTATGCTCGGTGGACTGTTAGCACAGATCACTGCAAATGTTACAAAAGGATATGTTACTTACAGTGTGTCTGGCAAGAAGTGGATATGTGGAATGTATGCAGAGCTACAGATGCCGCTCACTGAGAAGCGTTTTACAGTCAACTTTTCCTCTTGTTTGTGTGTGTTAAGAAAACCTGTTTCAGATTATGAATACAGCAAACAAGATCCTCTATTTTAATTCCTAAGCTACAGGAATTACAGATCCTGGCATTCTTTTTGGTACACCCTGCATGTATTAGGTCCTCTGTTTTATCAAGAGAAATATCCAAAATCAACATGAGTGAAATGTGAAATCATATTTAATTTTGTTGCACTATCATGCCACATTTATTGGTACTGGTAATACCATCAACACTTTGTTATCATGCAGTCACAGCTCATTTTTATGAGGTACCTCAAATACTATTAAACATCACTGAGTTCAGAAAATGACAACTGCATATCCAATCTGTCTAAGGGTTCTACTGGGCCTCCTTTTCACACCATATAATGTGCTTAACGAGCTTGGCACTCAAGGTGCACATTCTGAAGCAAGTCATCAGTCTTTCAAAACAATTAAAAAGTAATCTTGACAGTTTTTTTTCAATTTTATCACAGTATCTACATTCACAAGGTGGACCGATAGTATAGGAAGAAAGATACACTCGTCACCCACTTTTTCTTTTGATTCTCATAAACTGGTTTTCTGTGCTCTTACTCATTTTGTTCTTTCTCTCTGAAATACGAGGTACACCATCAGTATCCCTGAAACTCTTTATAAAGGTCCTGAAGCACTTATTTACAAACTTAGGAATTTACTTCAATAAGGATACTATCCACCTGCTGAAAGTCCACACTATAAAAGCATGCAATGATATCATCAGTATTGCAGTTGAGAGAAAATGACAAGCAGTATGTGCCATGTCCTGCAGAAACCAGGTATCCTGAGTGATGTAAAGTTTTCACAACTTCCTGCAGTTCCTACAAGCAAATACTGGGATGGCACCTTAAAGCAAGCCAGAAAATGGCTGTAACTGACTTCAAGGTGCAGTTCCAGCTTTCAGCTGAACAGATTAATATAAGCCATGCAAAATCTCAACAGGATAGTCAGTGTTTAAGTCAAAATTTAAACTGGGCGCCTCGTGAGCACTACAGCTTTACCGCTAAGGGAATGGGATCCCAGTACCCATGCGACAGGAGGCTGTGTGTGCCCGAGTTGGTAGGTAAAGCTCACCTCACTCATACAGCTGAGCCCATCTTGAGAAGCTGCCAGTTGTGCAGCTACTCAAGAACTTCCCAGCATTTTATGGAACCCAAAGGTTCATTACCATGTTCACAAGAGCCCTCCACTGGTCCCTATCCTAAGACAGATCAATCCACTCTGTACCACCCCTACCATCCCATTTCAATATTGTCCACCTACCTACATCTTGGTCTTCCCATTGATCTCTTTCCTTCTGGATTTCCCACCAATATCCTATATGAATTCCTCTTCTCCCCCATTCATGTTACATGCCCTGCCAATCTCATCCTCCTTGACTTGATCATTCTAATTGTACCTTGAGAAGAGTACAAGTTATGAAGCTCTTCATTATGCAGTTTTCTTCAACTTCCTGCCACTTCATCTCTCTTCTGTCCAAATATTGTCCTCAGCACCCTGTTCTCAAACACCATCAGTCCATGTTCCTCCCTTAAGTTTCCTCCCACCAAGTTTCACACCCATATAGAACCACAGGCAAAATTATAGTTTTGTATATTCTAATTTTTATGTTTTTGGACAGCAGATGAGAAGACAAAAGGTTCTGGACTGAATGGTAGCAAGAATTACGTGAGTTCAGTCACCTCTTAATGTCCTCCTGAACCAGATTTTGATTTGTTATAGTCATCCCCAAATATGTGAACTGTGCCACATTTTCAAAACATCTGTTACCTATCTTTATGTCATGATTTTTCCCTGCATTTTGGTTATGAGTCAGCAACATATACTTAGTTCTCTCTGTTTTCTTCTAGACCAACCTCTTTACAAGCGTGAATTAAAGTCCTGTGTGTTTGTCTATCCTCTTTATGGTATCTACATTATCACCCAGTAGATTCACATCATCAGCACAGACCAACAGCTGATGTGTCCCATTTAATTTCAGTCCCACCTGCTTTCCCTCTACCTTCCTAATGGCATATTCTACAGCAAAGTTGAAAAGGAGTGGCGATAAAGTGTCTCCTTGTTTTAGACCATTCTGGATAGGAAAATTATTAGACAAATGTCTACCTATATGGACTTTACTATATCTTTCGTTTAAACATTTTAATTAGCGTAACTAGTTTCATGGGTACCCCAAACTATCAGAATACTGTACAATACTTCTAACTGAATCATAGGCTTTCTTGAAGGCTATGAATAGCAGATGTACTGTCTCTTCGTACTCCCATTTTTTCTCCAATATCTGATGAATGCAAAAGATCTCATCAGTAGTTGATCTGTTAACATCAAAACCCATGTTAATGATCCCATCTGTATATGGACCTTCATGTGAACTGGTGCAGTAATAGACTCCTTCCACTGATTAGGCAATTTTTCCTTATTCTAAATGGAATTAATTAGCTTATGGATTTTGGACGTAATATTTCACCTTCTGCTTGAACAAGTTCTGCTGGAATTTGATCACTACCTTTCCAAATTTGCAGTAGCAATTTCAACTTAAAAAGGGCTAGGATGAGGTACTAATGGCTCAGCTGCATGTCTTTCTATCTGCCTAATATCACTGACCCTATGTACATTCAATAACAGAGAAGTAGTAAAGCTAAGTCAGTCCTTTTTTTATGATCCTCTCCATGCACATTCCATATGTCGCTATACAGTGCACCTGCTGCTTACATTCTCCTCAGATGGAAGCACTGCCTCACCTGTGTGTCCTTGCAGCTTCTGAACCACCTCTTTTGTTTGCAGGTTCCAAATGTATACAAAGTTGTCTTCTGAACCCGACACAATCCACTGCATCAAACAGAAAAAACAATCAATATAAGTCAGATTGAGTGAAGCACAGGAACCAGTAGCACAGGCTTGAGTCTGCACTCACCTTCCCTCCTGTCACTGAGAAATTTGCAAAGATGCAGTATTTCTCATTGCGGTGTCCAGTGTAAGTCTTCAGGCACTTGCCCTTGCTGTAGTCCCACAGTTTCAGTGTGTTGTCCAATGTGGCCGCCAGAATATATTTGCCATTTGGTGAGAACTTCACAAATGATACGGGAGGATTGTCATCATCTATTAGGGTCTTTAGGCACTGGCCTGAAGCTGTGTCCCATATTCGGCTGTGAAGCAAACACAGAGCCAACTCTTTGAAGTGGAGTGTAGAATGGTCTGAAAGTTATTCAGTTGTTCTTATGGTATAGGAATCACCATCATAACACTTGTTCTTTGCCCTACCCAGAACCAGTTCATATCTTGGTTTTTATATCCAGGATTCATTTTATCGATCTACATTTTGGTGTCCAAAAAATGTACTCCCCCCCCCCCAAATGTATGTGATGTGAGGTTCTAATGATAGTGACCCAAAAGAGTAAACTTCTACCAAACTACATGGTGTCACACCCCAGAAGATCATAACGAACTTCAATATTATGAGAGTTTACAAACTTCTGAAAATCTCATATCAAATATATTAGAACATTATTGCAATGCATAACTACAAATTCATCCCCTAACTGCTGATTAGGTATATGGGAGCAAGGTTGAAATAACATGAGTATGGCAATATTTCTTTGAAGTGATTACCATGGGGATATGAAAATAATATTTTAGTATTTTTCGTTTCCATTAGCAACGGGAAGTTGGAAAAAACCTGCACAAAGAGGAGCTTCATAACTTGTTCTTCTCCAAGTATAATTAGAATGATCAAGTCAAGGAGGATGAGATTGGCAGGGCATGCAACACAAAACGAGTAGAAGTGGAATTCATATAGGGTATTGGTGGGAAAGCCAGAAGGAAAGAGATCACTGGGAAGACCACGATGTAGGCAGGTGGACAATATTAAAATGGATCTTGGAGAGATATGATTAATCTGGCTCAGGATAGGAACCAGTGGAGGGCTCTTGTGAACACGGTAATGAACCTTTGGGTTCCACAAAATGCTGGGAAGTTCTTGAGTAGCTGCAGCTTCTCAAGAAGGGCTCAGCTCCATAAGTGAGCGAGTGAATACTTGTTTCAACGTGTATTGCAAATGTACTGTTTAACTGCCATGGTAGTATTATATAATTAGTATAAGTGGGTAGTATTCCATTTTGTAGTTTTTCCCAAGCCTCAGTCTTAGTTCATAACACTCTCTTCTCAAACATAGTTACTTTGGCAAAATTCAGTTTCAGTCATATAAATCAAAATTGAAAAGAGTACACAAGTTTTCATATGACATTCTTTGCAGCTCACTGTAAGCTTACTTGTGGCCTGTTTATAAATGGCATATTAGCACCACCATCATTGGCAAAATGGCCCATTATGAGCCACAGCCTTCCGTAGATGATTCTGCCAGATATGTGACCATCTGGTTTTTGCAACAATTATGCAACCTTATGTCCAACCCCTAATTTTGAGGACCAGGTCTCTGTATTTATGGCCCCCAGTGACAGGGCAGTCCAGTTATACTCCCAGGCACTGGGTTTCTATTATTGTTGCCCTATAAAACTTGGAGGGCTACAGTGGAGATATCCTAAGCTGCCTCTGTATGGGAAAAATTACATTTAATCATGAAAAGAAAAACTGTATAAGTTAAAATGAGGTCAATTCATATTTGGACAGCACAACAGCGTGTAATATAAAATTCTAATGAAACCTGTGAAATGGTTTATGGAATACTTGGAAATGTTCATTTTTTACCTCATGTAAAGTAGCATGTTACTTATCATATGGCTGAAAATCTGAACTGCCTGGCACATCAGTGAAACTCTCGCGTGTTGAATCTGAACAAAATCTGTTCAAGAGTTAGGCAATGACACTAGGTCAGAGATGAGCAGCCATGAAGAATCCCCAACAGTGTGAAATTAAACGTTACTTTTTGTACCTTCAAAAGATAATTCCCTGAATTCTTTTGGAGTCTGTACATATCAACTGCATAATTATACAGGATGAAATGAAATTCATGAACACACTCTATAATGATTCCTTGTTAAAATTAAGTAAAAAATACTGCAAGGCATATGTCTTGTGATATTTGCTTTTCAAGATACATGTTACCATTAAATGATGCAAGCTACGAAATGATCAAACCACGGGTGCCTCGATGACAAATACGTGTTTGAAGTGGCAGGTGGCACTGTGCCACATTGCATTCTCAGTGATGCGCTTTAACATGCTGGAACTGACTACTGTTACGTACTGCCATGAGAGCTTTGATAGTCCAGGGAACAACTGTGTAAATGAGCACCTTCAGATGTCCCCCACAGGAAAAAATTCACTGGAGTTCGATCTAGTAACTGTTATGGCCACGCAATCAGCCCTTGACATCCAATCCATCTTCCCATAATGCACTGCAGAGCTCCATGATGCAGAAACCATAAGCACTGCCTCAAAGCTAGAGGCACATCTTCAAGCATCCCCAGTAAGTGTTTACAGAAAATCATGATATTGTTGAGCAGTCAGCCTATCAGCGTATATGGGACCATGACAATGTTCTCCGTTAATTTTAGTCCAGATGCTGATGCCAAAGCAGGCTTGATACCAATGTTCATGGATAGCACAAGAATTATCCTGTGCCCAGGGGTGACTGTTGTCAATGGTAAATATACCCTCATACATAAACATGCTTCATCTGTCCACAGAATGCTATGTAAAAACAGCTCATCTACAGTGTGTTGATGTTGCAGCTATTTGCAGGATTGCATCCATAGATGACAACTGTCTGGAAACAGATGTGTACTCCATGAGCAGCAGTATGAGTGTAACTCACTGTTGTGAAGTACTGCGTTGACCATGTCAGAATAGTCTCAGATGTCGTGTGATACCATATGAGGATCTCTATGGCTGTCATTCCACACAGCTGTAATCACGGCATCTCAGTGGCTGGTGTCCATACAGTCCATGCGTGACGTGCATTCATGTGTCTCACACGCGTTACACTTGTGCCACAGATATGCTGCTCCAGTCACTGAAATACATTAGCATCTTGTGATGCTGACCAGGATAACGCAGCACGTACTCCTGTGCAGGAACATCAGTTCAGCTATTAAAGGTACCGAAGCTTGAGAACATGTTGCAATTTTAGTTTTGTGTATTCAATAATCATTCAATCACAACTGACCCCTGCTGGGCACTGTGTCTTGAGTAAACTCAAGAACATGCTATGAGAAGTATGTTATCCCATTTGATGGTGGCGTGTACCTTGTAAAGTATTAGGCTGCTGCAAAATAAATTTGTTTTCAACCTTAAATTTTAGATTATCATAACAGAAATAGTTACGACTGACACACTTTTACCAATGGGAAAGAAATTTAATTATTCCACTTTGGTAGAAATCTGAGGTCCTCGAGCTGACAAATTCATTGAAGGTGCTCTCTGCTTCTGTTTGATTACTGAAAATTTTTGCTGCAAGAAGTTTTTCAGGTACTAGAAAAAGTGGAAATTAGATGGCAACAGGTCTGGTGAACAAGGCAGATAAGGGGAATTTTGTAGCTTAATTCATTCAGTTTATGGAGTGTCCATTGGGAAATGTGCCATTTGGTGTTATCATGAAGCAAGACTGGTACTTTTTGACTGAGTGCTGGCTTTCTAACTTCCAGTGCATTTCATCAATTTCTCAACAGTACTTCTCTCTGCAGTAATGGTCTTGCCTGGATTCAGACAGCTGTATTGCATTACACCAGCTGCAGGCCACCAAACAGTGAGCATAACCTTCTTCTGAAGTAACTTCAGCTTTGGGAAGTACTTCAGTGCTTCATTATAGTGAAGCCTCTGTTAGGATTGTCAGTGGTCATCGTATAAGATCCCTTTTTTATCACACGTCTCAGTTCCATGGAGAAGTGGTTTGTTGCACAAGAGAATCACACAGCATAGCAATTTGATTTTCACTGAATTCATGTGGAAGCCACTTGTTGGGCTTTCTCACTTTTCCGATTTGACTTAAGTAGCTGGAAAGTCATTGTAGTAAACGTCAAGCTCCTGTGCCATCTCTTGGACAGTTTGACATTAGTTGGCCTCCACTAAGGCCCTCGATTGATCACTGTCAACAAATGTGAATGTCCCCAACCCTCTTCATCTTCAAGACTTAGATCACCACTATAAAACTTCTTGAACCAAAGGTGAACTGTGTGCTTGTTAACTGTTTCCTCACTGATATTTCATTGAGATTTCATGCAGTTTGCACTGCGCTTATCCAAGTTTGAATATGTACAAATTACACTTTTTTTTCATTTCTTTCTGGTAGTCTAAATGTAAGAAAAACAAACAACAAAATGAAATTGTTATCACAGTATTATTATATTTCAGAATCCTGTTGAATTGAAGTATCACTTGTAGTCTTCTTCCTTCTATAATGCAACAATATCAATATAGATTTAGATATACCAATCCACATTTAACTCACTAAAATGTTTAAATGTTAATAAAATGTATATACATTTTTTATGCGCTACATGTTTTGGCCACACAGGACCATCTTCAGGCAATACATTTTTAAGGAATCCAATGCACTGTGTCAATGTTATATATAAGAAGATACACTGAGTGGAAGTTTACAGCTCTACAGTTCTAGTTCCGTTTTGCGTTTCAGTACAACGTTCAAGGCGTTACAGAGTTCACTATTGTTGTTATTCTTCAATTCTTCAAACGCAAGTTCACCTGTGTATACTGTGCAACTGTAATATTATAGAACAGTTCAACAAGTGGTTGTCTCTTCATACATCGACATCCCACATTGCTATTCATTTTGGTGCTACTTGATGTTTGTTCTTCCTATCTCTTGTATTGCGCTCTCTGCAATATATAATACATGTTAAACAGAGTAGAATCTGCACTTCAACATTTTTTGTTATTTTGCAACATATCATATGTTGTGTGATATTTTCAACTTATTTTTTAGAAAGGAATCACAATATACAAACCTTAAGCATGAATTTTTTTCATCATGTATAGTGTTGAATGATGGGAAGATGATAAAAAGAATATGGAAAAGCATTAAGTGGCTGGAATCTACTGTACTGTGCTATCCCAGTGGGCTTGAGGAAACCCATGGAAAATCTCAGATTAGCTGGTTTCATGAGTAACAAAAAGCATTAAGCACCATGGTTCAGATTGTTGCAGTGCATTTGATTATGTGACTTGCAATTGTCACTTTGAAATCAATTGGTTGTCGTAACACTGAAATATGTTTTTTAAGATCCATAACATCTGCTAAGGGGTGGGGTGGGGGGTTAAGCCACTTTACCAGAGTCCATCGTAACTGCTGGAGACTATCAGAGAGCCATCTCTATTGAAGTGTACAGCACTGACAGGGTCTGAATGAGCTGGCAGTGTCTTAAGACATTTTCCTGTTCTCACGTCCCAGATGCGGACACTCTCATCAAACTGAAACAGTACATACACCGCTCTTCAGTACGATGCTGCAGTATCTTGTTCCTCTATATAATAAGGTGACAAATGGACACTTACTGATCCAGAAACAATGAGGTTTGATTGTGGGTTGAAGTTGCAGCAGAACACATAGTTACTGTGTCCCTTTAGTGTCTTGAGGCACTTTCCCTGCAAACAGATACCTGCATTAAATCCCAACTCTGTAACATGAACAGTGACAGAGCTGTTATGATGCCTACTTACTGAGCTCAGCTCCCATATCTTCAGTGTTTTGTCATCGGAGGCACTGACAAGTAGTCTGCTGTCACTGGACCAAGCTACATCAGATATCCCAAGCTTATGACCTGATATTGTCTTCTCAAATTTTCCATCGTAAGCTCCCCAAATCTTTATCAGCTTGTCTGCAGCTGAAATACAAAGCAGTCGATACATTCAATAAATGCACGGTACTGAACCCTCACAGCACTTTCTGCAGATATAAAGAACCTGTAATTTATGTGATTCAGACTGCGAGTCATTTACCATTAATGACAGATCCACACATTAAAAAGACACTGAAAAATGGCAGGGAAGAAGCCATGGCTGAGGAATTCTCCAGTTCTGCTCTCAATAAATACATGTGATGTGTCTAGCTGCATACTGTGTGTGACATTATTAATCAATATACAAGTAATGAGCTTTGTGAAAGATGTAGTTCAAAATTTCAACTACTGCTTACATACAATATTCAGAATGTGTCAAACATAACCTAAAAGTTCCTGCCATGCCATGTCTTCTTTTTCATACAGGCATGCAAAAAGCTCTGTGCAAAATGTGTAGCCCACGCTTACAATCCATCCCTGCATCAAAAGAGACAAATATGAAAGATCTGAAAGTTTGTGATGATGGTATGTTAATAGAATGATACATTCCGTCCCCTCTCAGGACTGTCTGGAGGAAGGGACTAGCTTTATTAATTTGGCCCATCAGAACAGTTTTTTTTTTTACTTGGGAATCCAGACAGAGCCTAGTCTTTGAAATGTCTAAAAAAAAAATACAGAAAATGGGTAATGTACAGAAAATTTGGTCATTCTACCAAATATGTGTTTCCTTACCAGCCATTTTATTTTCATTCATGGTGAGAATGATGTGATTTTAACATTTCTGGACACTTCATTGTTATGGACTGATGCTAAAGATTTCGGGTTCTGACAGTGTCTGACCGCCCCACGCGTTGGGCGCCACTTACTCTCCTCTGTAACCGCTCTCTCTGTATAGTGCCCTTTACGTTGGGTGTCACCTTCTTGTCGCCGTCCCCCTTTACCTTCCTGTTCCTTCACCTGGCTTCCACCTGCAGAGGCTGTTGCTGATACTTCTTTGCCAAAGGAACACAGGTGAATTTTCTTTACCTCAAAAGGTAGAGATGAGACTATCTCAGGATCTTTTGTACGGGCCTCGCTCAGACAGGGAGGCAGAAGCGTCTAATGATACACTAGCACTTTGCATGTGAGTATAATTTATTCTTTGTGAAGAAAGTGTAAAACAAAACACAGTTCACATACACAATTCACCAAGTGCTGACACTTACAACTGTTCCTAGCTGGACCACCACTTTTTTTTTTTTTTTTGAAGAGTGTTTGAAGAGTATTTGAAGACTATTTGATGCCTGTTTGATGAGTTTTTGAAGACTGTTTTTCTGAAGAGATGTGAGCCTTTCCAGTTTCCGCGAAGTTCCCAAGTCACACCCTCGACTTTTGAGGATTGGTCAGATTTGAAATAAGGGAGTTGACTCTGAATCCGCTACTTCCAATCATTTTTACTCTAGAGGCAAATTTTTTTCTTTAATGACCTAACGTAACTTTTGAAAGGTAATGATGTATGCTGGCCATAGCGTCCCCTCCTGGCACGCCTTCGTGTGACTTAAGACTAGCAGAAACTGTCAAGAGTCAAATTTCCAAAGTGAGTCGCCGAGCGACTCTGGAACCAAAATTCCAAGAAATGCTGAACTAAATCACCAGGGGGCCATCTGGAGTTTTTGTGTGTGTGGTCCATCTGTGAAACAGGCAGCTTCGTGTGTGCAAGAGGTGGGCTATGTCACACTCTGCGTAATTATTATAAAATATTGAGAATAACTCTCAATAAAATACCATTTAGGCTTGTGGGCGGTTATAAGTGGTCACTGTAATTATGTACTGTTCTGGAATGCAATGCTATATAGTACAGTAGAAGTTCATTAGTGGTTTTGAGGAACACGCTGCTTCCATCTTCATAGCCAAAGAACAAAATGCCGAGCAGTATGCATCAACAAACAGGTCACAAACTGAACCTTCCTGTCACCTGCTTCTTGCAGGTTACTTGCTTAGTATTATTATTATTATTTCTTCCTTATTCCATTATATCTATAGTAGGCTAAAGCCTTATACGTGGGTAGGCTGAAAAGTAATGCACACATGCTTGTAGAGCGCGAACAAAAACAAATAGCAAGATCGGGCAAAAAGTACATTAAAGTACAATTCTTAAGTTTCAAAAGCATATATTTATTTTTCAACATAGTCACCGTTAAGGCTAACACATTTCTCCCAACGTGTAACAAGTTTTTTCATTCCGTCACTGAAAAATTCTTCCGACTTTTCTTGAATCCAGGACTTGACAGCTGCCTTCACCTCATCGTCCGAGGTGTAATGATTACCCTTGAGGTCTCTCTTGAGTAGAGGGAAAAAAAAAATCGCAAGGCGCAAGATCGGGAGAATAAGGAGGGTGTGGAATCGGTTCAAACTTCAGGTTTCACAGAGCCTCTTCAGTTGCGCGCGAGGTGTGTGGACGAGCGTTGTCATGTTGCAAGATTAGTGGCGCCAGGCTGCCTCTTAACACGACAAACTCGACGCTGGAGGTGTTTTAGAGTCTGTATGTACTGAGAAGAATTTACCGTTGCCCCTCGTTCCAGAAAATCGGTCACATAAACTCGATGAGCATCCCAAAACACAGTCAAAAGAAGTTTTTTGGCAGATGGTTGTGTTTTGAACTTTTTCGCCTGATGAGAAAATGGATGTTGATATTCAGCGCTCCGTCTTTTCTCTTCCGGGTCGTAACGATGGACCCATGACTCGTCCCCTGTCACAATATTCAAAAGAAAGTCGTCTACTTTGTCACGGTAGCGCTGCAAAAGTTGCTCGCAGCATTCCAATCAACGCTGCTTGTTCTCGTCTGTGAGATGGCGTGGTACCCATCGTGCACAAATTTTACGGTATCCCAATTGTTCAATAATGAAGCTGACACGTTCCTTAGATATTCCAATATGGTTTGCGATGTGCTTTTGAGTGATTCGCCAGTCAGTTTGAATCAAATCGACGAGTTTGCGATGATTATCGTCTGTGGCAGTGATTGGACGTCTGCTGCGTGTTTCATCAACAATTATGGCTTTTCCAGGCTCGCAACCACGAAATTTTATTACCCATCGATTTACAGTAGACCTATCAACAGCATCGTCACCATAAACAGCCTTTAAACGACGATGAATCTCAGTAGGAGTCACTTTCTCAGCAGTTAAGAATTCGATATCAGCACGCTGTTTAACTCGCGTTGACATAGCACTAGAACACGTCTCTTTACTTCCGCTTCTCGAAATACACTGGATGAACGCAACGACCTCAAACCTGCGCATGCATATTGAGGGGGAATGTTACTTCCACATGCCACCTGGCGTGCTTCTGAAGGTCTTTCGTTCGCGCTCTACAAGCATGTGTGCATTACTTTTCAGCCTACCTACATATACAGAATTGTGTCAATTTATCATGCTAGTACTGTCAAGCAATTGTCAAAAAGGCTTATAAGACAATATTTGTTTACATCATAATACAATTACTCTCTAGCATAATACACTCAAAATTATCATTTAAAATAAAAATTTAAGATAAATGTTTCCATCAAAACTAACAGAATATTTTGGTCATATAGCTTTAACATATATAACAAATCCAACATCTGACATCTCTGAAATGAGACTACACAGTGTGTCGCATCACTCTTTACGAACGGAGGCTGAGCTTAGGCTGTCCACAGACAATGGCACACAAGCTTCTACAGAATTTCAGGAAGATCACAAAATTAATTCCACGGTTATTCTGGGGAATGGTATGCAGTTCCTGTTACCTACAAATATATAATTGTGGCTGCAGCTCACACTTACAAGAACTGGCAAGCCATTCTCCATTGGGGCTGAACTTGACAGATGACACTGCTTTGGTGTGTCCCGCAAGTGTGAACTTCAATGTGTAGTTTGGTTTCTAAAACAGACAAGGTAAATAATGCTGTTCAAATAGAAAGAACTAAAACATTATTGATGTTAACTGGAGGACCCTCAACCATTCCAACACATGGTTATTCTGCAGTTCTGCATGAATGAACCAAACTTTAGGGCTGCCACAACAATCCTGGATCCATAAACGTCTCCTTTAGTCATTTCTTGTATGTGACAACATTACCAAACTGCTGGCTTTAGTATTTTTATCCTTGTTCTGTTGGTATATCAAATTTATGAAACAGCAACTTTAGGTGGGTACTGAATAACATGAATGGTCATGGGATAGGCTTTCTTTGCATTCTCATCATAAGGCAATGCCTTGGCACTGGTCATTAGGATGCATTACATTTGTCAATTCTTCATTTTATTTAACAATGCTTTTAAAATATTATTATATGGCACAGAATGAAAGGATGATTAGTGTACAATGAACTGCAAGGGATGTGGAAGGAAGTGGACATGGTGTAATTTACCACAATCATGAAAAACCGCAGTGAGGATGCCCAATCTCTAGACTAAGATATGAACTTGAGACATCCCAAATATGAAGCAGGAGCACAAAACCCATATGACCACATGTTACAAACCTCAAAAACACATTTTAAATTCAATGGCAAAATATAAGAATCAGTATCCCCTATGCATGCAAACTTATGTGATAACACAACTGGTGAGTGGCGCTCAGACAGTTCCTGTTTATTGGGTTACATGTGTTTTAGTCCAGTGAATTGCCTAGACGTGAAACTTAAGCATTTTAATCAGCCTACTTGCTTAATTCCTGTCACTACACTTTACCTGTGCAATAAGCAATCATTCATTCAGTTGTTTTATTTCCTGTGTTGAAATGCCACATATGATACACAGTGGTCATGTTCAATACACCTATGAGAAAAGTATTTCTGTAACAAAAATAAGAATCCTGCCTTAATATGAGGATGTTAAAGTTCCACACACAGAACATATTTATAGAATTGCAAATACAACAACAGTTTTTACTAGGAAAAAAAAAAACACACTGAAATGTTGCAAGGCCAATGAAGTGAAACTGAATGAAATCACTGCTAGGCCTAAACATATTCCTTACAAATCCCAAAGATGCTTTGCAAAGGGGGAGCAGAGTTTCAAAATTGCCAGCACAAACTGCCACAAAACTTTCCCAAACTGGAAAAATTGAAGACATCAGTGAAAGAATATGGTTTGATCTGGCTCAGGATGATGACCAGTGGAAGGCTTTTGTATACATGGTAATGAGCCTCTGTGTTCCACAAAATGTAGGGAAATTCTTGAGTGGCTGAGCAACTGTTGGCTTCTCAAGAAGGGCTCAGCTCCATGGATTTAGTAGTGCAAGAAATGTAACCATGTGATCCTGTTAACAACATATATTTAGTAACTGTTCAGTTTGTTCACAATGATTATAAATCCTTACCTGACTTTATTTTCTGATGAGGGTTAATCTTACTTATACAGGTAGGTAAATCACAAAATGGTACATAATGGATCTTGCACAATCCAAGAAATATGTGAGGTTCCACTGCATGATTCAAAATTCAGTACTAGGTATGGTGTGAATACAAGCAGAATATATGGAGTAATTGTACTTTAGGACATAACTGGTTCTGGAAGGTATGTGGAGCAGATGTTCCACCAGTTTGTCTAAGAATAGTAGTATGCATTCTCCCAACAAGACTCTGTTACCACAGTGGGATCCATGTATGCTTTAAGCTGTTTCCCAAGAAATTCATTTGCTGTGAAAATGTACAGGAATGCTTGCAAAATAACAGCATATCATGCAGTTTCCACCAGCAGTCTGAATTTCTGCATGCCCTACTTCACAGGACATTATTAGACTCTTCTGCCACAGAGATTTAACGATTTGTGGGTGCATCCACAAGAAAACTCACTATAAGCATATGACATGTAGGAATTTGTTGGTGCATGTATTTCAGTATGTATATATAATATGAATTTATTTTGTAAATTCCATTTTCACATCTTACAAATCTGATGTTTGAATGAGACAGACTTATGTGAGTAGAGCACAAAGAATGTCAGAAGTGAGTGTAAGGTACATACATATAAGAGTTCTTCCATTTACCCCTATAACATCTCTAGCTGTGGGAGGGGTTGTCTTTTAACACAATGGAACTATCTCAAAATTATATACTGCTTAGCACAGAACAAACTAATTTAAGACTAATAATAAACATTACTCTCCTGTGTATTATAGCATGTATTTCAGATAATCCATTCTGAAGAAATCTGGACTATTTAATCTATTATTCCAGGCATAAAGCATGAATACCTTGGAGGCTACTGAAGAATAATACATACCACACTCGAATTTGATTTAGTTGAACCTCCACCAGAAGAATTCAGAGCAGTCGGGGCCGACGGTGTATTATTTGCGGCTGGTTGAGAATGAATAGGTGTTGGTCCTAATGGTACCATTGTTTGTCATGAAGTCTAGTCTATACCGGCAAACAAAACTATATTTTTACCATGTAAGTTAGGGTTCTTGAAATAAGTTTCCTCTGTGTAACGTAAACACGCTGCACTCACAAGTGAAACAGAAGCGTGAAACTTGAAATCATATACGAACTAAGTAAGTAATACTTCCACACATATTATAACTGCTGACGAATAATGTCTACCTCATTCTCCTCTTTGAGGGTGAAGAAAGTTTATGGATCGCGCAGGGTGCACACTGTATTTTACAAAACTGAGAAACCGCTTGTATGTCTCGTCCAAGCTAATTAACATCAAATCATCAATAATATTTTACATGACCTACCGTACTTTCAAGAATTCTTGTTAATACTCTAATAACAATGTATCTTTAATCACCAGTAACACACACACTCACAATTCCAAACCAGCTTGCATTGCTTACCCAGCATGCACCGCTCAAGATCACGTGATTTATACAGCTTATAGTGGGCCGGCCAAGGGACGCTGCAATGAAATGTGCGAGACAATACAAAATTGTTGGTATATATTGTTTCAAATTTGGTCTCAGCAGGGTGGTGCTTGTACCTGATGTAGTGTATTGAACGTTTGAGTTAAAAATATGCAGTGGAACATTGTAAAATATGTTGAAATTGAAGAGCTCAAAGATCATGTGACATGAATGGACCAATCACAGCGTTCGAACTTTCAAAGGATTTTTCACCACTCAAACCCGTTGGAGTAGTTGCGTAGCCATTGCTGTTTGTGTGGAGTGCGATCGTTAGTTTTGAGATCTGGTATCATCATGGGCATCGAAAAGCATCCGGCTCTGCAAGGCAACAAGAAATCGTCTTCAGACTCCAGTGCATGGTACTAACATAATTCTTGCCATATTTATAGACATAATCTGAAGTTCTGAGTTTTTATCAGTGAGTGGGTTCCCCAGTCGCAGGGAAGACGGCCATAATAACATCAAGCAAAAGCTTCGGGAGAGGCGTAGTGTAGTGTTTTGCAAAATTTACCATTGAAATCCATCTCCAACATAAAGGTAGGTGGTTCTCCGTATCTGTCGGTACCACTGGATTAAGTTGTTATAATAATTGTGATGCATGAAAGCAGGGATAAATGGTAGGTTTGGAAGGAATTGTAGGCCTCTCGGCTTTCTTCACTGAAAGGGGAACCCGCCATGTTGAAGGAGCTTGGAACGAAAACAGAGAACCAGAATAAACTAATATATATTTGTATATGTAAAATGTGGATCTGAATGACATATAAATGCCGGTGTTTTGACTGTAAGGATCCATTTCGACACTTTCCGGCGTATAACCAGGCTTAAGCGACGCATTGACTGGTATAGCAGTTTCAGATCCATGTATCAGTAAGAAGCCCAAAATGCTCTCAGGCTCTTGTCACGGTGCTGTTATGTATAGTTATGTATTTGTGTTTAGTGACGTGAGCTTGTGAAGCCCAGTTGATTGGGCGCCTGATGCTAATTGGAATGCTTTCATTATTCTAGCCCCCACCCCCCACCCCCAACTCAGCCTTCCAGTGGTAATATATTTGCCTACATGATTTTTTACTGTCTGTTTGGATAGAGTAACTTAGATTTTGTGTTACAAATTTGATAAGGTAATGCCCAAATGTCAGTGCCATGTTGGTTTATGAGATGCTGAAGCTTATAGGTTAGGTTGCCCCAGTTATATTCTGGTTGCTCAAGGGTGGCATATACATAATAGAGGAGACGACATTGACTGCGCTTATGAAGTGAAATTCTTGTTATGTTTCCAAGGTTATGTGAGTGGTGACCAGTTGATTTTATTTATATAGGCAAACTAAGGTGTTGCTGAAATTGAAGTGAAATATTAATCCCAGCAGTTATTTATTGTTAAACTGCAGGAGAGCTTCTTGACTTTGTGGTCCAATTTTATTCATAGTTGGGGCCAAGAATCATGTGTGCTGCTGTTATTTTTTCTTTGTTGTATATTCGCCCTCAAGTGATCTTTCTGATGCATGCTTTTTACATTGTATATGACATCATTCATGAGGCTGTTACATGATTTGGGTGTAGCAAGTATTGCTGGCGTATGTATAATTGCTGTGAAGTTTGGAGGGCAAGGCTTGTTTTGAAATAAAGGCATGATAGGTTGTTTTGTAACTTTTTTGTTGGACTTGAGTGTTACGGGTTCTTGGTTTGCATTATCATTAGGTTGGTTTCCGTGCACTGAAAAATCAATCAGTGCAAAGATATCACACATTTTCCAATATGAAAGAATATGACTGCTGAAACTTGGAAGCAAAATTGATGGTGATTCAGAGTTTGTTGTTGATCATTGTATAAACAAGTTTGGACATGCATGCACTGTAACATTTGTTTAAGAAGTAATATTTGCGCAATTGGTATAGTGACTGGCTACAGCCTGGATGACCAAGGAGTCGGAGTTCAAGTCCCGGTAGAGTCAAGAATTTTATCCACATCCAGACTGGGTCTCAGGCCCAGCCTCCTATCCACTGGGTACTGGAGGCTTTTCCACCAGGGGTGAAGTGGCTGGATCATGAAGTTAACCACTAACCAGTTAGTGCTGAGGTCAAGAAAATCCATACAGTCACTCTCCCGTACCTGACATATGTCTTCATGGTGTAGTGCTTAAATTGGCCAAGCAGGGACAAATCTCATTTCATATCATGGGTGATCTCGACCTGCTACTGTCAAGAAATAAATATCCAACCATGCGTATTGAGAAACTTGACAATTTGTGTTTGGGCTCATAGTGTGCATACTGCTGTTTTGGTGATGGTATCGTGCAGCTTTAGTTACTTGAATTCTGCAGTTTAATTAAATTCTTGGAGGCATTTTTGGTTTTGGGCCCATGTGAAGGGCTCATATATTCAATANAAATTCAGCGAATGTGGAACATGAAATGTTTTGTGATACCAGTAATTATTGGAGCCACAGGTACAGTCACGAGAGGGTTGAGAAAATATTTGGAACTAATTCCTGGTAAGCACTCCATAGATTCACTGCAAAAAAACAGCTATCCTGGGAACATCACACATACTACGGAAAGTGCTACAGTGTGAAGCTTGAAGCCTGAGTGGTGAGGTGCATCAGTGGTTCAAGAAAAGGAATACCAGGAAATAAACCTGTGACAAGAGATAATAATAATAATAATAGGGATAGTGCACAATGTGCAAGTTTAGTCTACAGAATTGAGTTAACGACGTGGGCTCAAATATTTGGACCTAGAAGTTAATGTGAGCCAAGCACCATCATATAATGAACAAACTCTTAAATACCAAATGTGATTAAAAGTTGTCCAACCTTTCTGATGGGTAGCAAGGGTCATGTCAGTACATAGGCAAACGCTAGAAACCAAAAACCATTCTTTTTATTTAGGGGGGGTCTGTAAGCATGTAATCATTTCAAAATCTTGAGACACATTTTTACATGATTATAGTATGTGAGAGAGGAAGAATGGAAACAAAAGGTTAGGATGAGGAAAATTTCTTTCTTTACTGGTTTCATCTGGGCTGGTGCTGCCGTAGGAAGAAGTACTGATCTGTCATGCCTGACTTTCAGCATGTAGTATGTATCCTTGAAAGTGTTGTATATTTTGTGCTTTTCCATCATCATTTTGTGTTATATGAACCATGATTGAGGACACCAACCCCATTGCAATTTTGTAATGTTTTCTCACAAATGTGACCATTGGGAGCCGTAATGAATGATTCTGTTGAAGAATATGAGCACAAGACCTGACTATAAAACATGTATACACTTTGAATATTTTCTCAGATTATGTGCTATTAATGTGGAAATTATACATGGATAAGAATTTTTTATATGGAAGAGAATAGCTTGTAGGTCATCTAATCAGAGAATGTATCTTGTATGGTGAAATATTTTACCATAGCCAGTACTATTTGTTCAGCCTCTTGGAGTAGCTGTTCCTGTAAAATTGGCCTCATATTAACCCTTCCGCAACGGATAGTATTTAAATCTTTTCCTACCGCCAAACCGACGGGGTATTTAATTATTAAACAGAAAAATGCACTTAACCATGAAAAATTTAGTAACTCTCGCAAAAATGGGTATATTGAGATAAAATTTTCACAGAAATATTCATAATGAAACGAAGAACAAACCTATGTATATATTGTTTAATATAATTATGATAAATAATATTTTTTTACTCACTCGAACTGCTAAAAGTTGAGTTTGGTGTGGTAATCGTGAAAACACTGGTCAATACATAGCCCAACATCACAATCACTGCACCAGTACACGGTTTCTTTTCTTCTTTTGTTTTTTGTACACACTACACATCGCCTTTGTGGTCTAGCCTTTTTTCCTGATGGGGGAATTTTATTAATAAAATGTCTTTCACGAAGCCGGGGGATGGTGTTATCTGATGAATGACGTCGACCTTGTACTCTACGTGCTGCCTGCTCCTGGTCCGTAAACTTCAACAGCAACCCTTCTACCAGATTTACTCTGAATGCTAAGTGGTCTGTCAGTCTTTCCTGATTCTTGTTATAAATTATCATGGCATTTACCACTGTCGCATTCAAAAGGCGTCTGAAGAGTTTCATGTACCACTTATGAAGT